CAGCGTGCTGGCAAGTACACTCGGACAGCATGGCGATGCTAATCGCGCTGCCTGCGTCTACGACAAGATGGTGAAAAGGCGTCTGATCCGTGTTAAGTGACCTGAAGTACAACTCGGTCAACCTCCCCTTCCTCCCTGAGCGCTCCAACCAGCAGCCGCTCGTTGCTGATCCTCTGCGCACGCAAAACGCGCAACCTCGACAGGATGCGCCCCGTCTATGCCAGACCCCGCCGCTTTTGTTTGCAAAGACTAACAGTAATCACTGCCATAATGCACCCATTTCCCAGCTCTTGGAGAACGTCCCAAACTCACCACTGCAGCTGCCCCTGCGCCGGGGGGGGGGGTGCGCCTCTGGGGAGACTGGCTCCGAGGGGGCCCTCCCCCACGAGGCCCGGGGAGCCCCCCGACGCGCCCTCCGCACTGCAGGCGCCCCTGTCCCCGCTCAGCAGCCACCAAGGCTCAGGGTGACTGGGAGGGAGAAGGCAGGAGAGGAAGTTCCCTCCCCAACATAGTTCCCCTCTTCCGCTCTGCTGCGGCTGCTGGGGCTGCCTGGGAATGGAGAGGAGCGGAGGCGCGCTCTATGGTTTTTAACCGTTTCCCTTCAAGGGGGTGGCGCAGGGGAAAGAAGCCGCGGGGCAGGGCAGGGAGCCCGGCTCCTGGGCTGCTCTCTGAGGCGGGCTCTGGAGCCCGGACGCCTGGGTTCCATCCCAGTGCGGTGCTGGAAAAGCGATGGGGGTGCGCGCACAGAGCCGCCCTTACCTTAGGGCGCAATCCTAGGCACGTGTGCGCAGAAAGCAAAGGTGCGAGCCATGCTTGCTGGGAACAGCTGGGACTGGGACTTCTGGCTCACCACGCATACGCGCCCTTAATGCATCTCAGCGCCGGGCTATTCAGTGTCTTTCTTCCTCTCGTCTTCTTTTTCCCCTAGACTTGAGAACAGGAAATCGGCGGCATGGCGTGGGTTGAGAGAGCCCGGATTCCTGGGCTGTAGGCCTGCTCTGCACAAGCAGAACCGTCAGGATGGGCAGGTCCTTTTGGGTGTGACCAGATACGACGTTTGAGTTTCTTTAGAAACGCTTGAAGGACTCTCCCAAACTTTTAAAAGAGAGATTGCAGGTAGCATTTCAACCTGTGGCACTTGGGCAGCAGCCAGTGGCTTTGAGGAAGCAGCTGCTGTTGATTTTCTATCCATCTTGCAAGCTTGAGCGGAGAAGGTAAGGTGGCCACCCTGCTCTAACAGGAGTGAGGGCAGGAGGGGTTGAGATCTGGTGCCCAGCATTGGCTGTTCTTACAAGCAGTGGTTTCCAGGAGCTCCGGTGAAGACTGGGTGCAGAAAACAAGATCACACCCAAGGGTTGAGGAGTGTGGGTAGGCAGTGAACCGTGGGTTGTTCGAACATGGGTTATCATGCTGGCCGAACCCAGATACAGCAACAAGCCGTGGCTTATCATCCATGAACAACCAATGAAGAGGATAGGTGGTTGTTGGCTTGTGAACAGTAGGCTGTTCACCATGGTTTGTTATCTCAGCTCCGCTCAGGCCATACAGTAGCCCATACTCAAGGGTTGAGTGCAGGTTATAATGTTGCCTGAACCCAGGAATGGTTTACGCCACCTTCTATGTGAGATCACTTTTTAGCTAGCAGTGTTGGAGTTTTTGCCTGTCTGCTAAGTGCATTCTAGTGTTGAGCCACAGTTGTCTCCCTCACAAACCATGTTCCTGGGTTCCTTTCCAGGTTCAGGAATGGCAGCCTACAATTGGTTCACTTAGCACGGGGCAATCTGGACTACTTGGCTTTTCCTCTCCTGAGGGCATAGCAGACAGTTGTGATTCCACTTGCAATAAGCATGGAGTTTCCCCAGGCTAATGAAAAAAATCAGGTTTAATTGTGCAATCAAACCCACAAACACACTCCTAAAGTACCTTTAATTATGTCATTAGTAGGCAGCTTTCTCGCTCACTGTACATGTTGATTTAAGAAAGAAAGAATGGCAGGGATTCCCAAACCAGATCTGCCAGTGATTTCTGCGTGAGGTCCAGTTTTGCAAGCCTTTGCCATCAACCATTGGCAACATTGGGAACTGATCTATTGGCAGAATAAAGAAAGCAGGGCCTTTGTCGCAATTTCCTCCCAGTCTTTGAAGCGAGCTTCCAATCCACTTTTGCTTTTTGCTGGCACTGTGATTTTTTCATTTCAGAAAAACTTTGGCTGTTGCCAGTGCTAGGACTGCAATATTATGGTTGGCACTCTGTACAGATCGCTTGATTTTCATTTGGCCAGTTTGTTCTTGCTGTATTTGCACAACTGTTGATGTCAGAAGTCGTCTCAAACTGGGAATCGGGTGCAAGTGGAACAGAAATGTAGTGAAATAAGTATGATTCAGGCTAGACGAAAACTTTGAGATGTTAGGAAACAAAACTCAATTCAAAGGCAGGCCCAACAATAATAAAGAACAAAAATGAGCCAGTTCATTGCAAGATTTCTATTTTTGTTATTTTGTTATATTTCTATTGTGTTTTTATTGACTGTTGTCACCCTCCCAGAGAGCTTCGGCTGAGGGGGAGTGTAGCAGTGAACTAAATCATACTGTCCCATGCACAGGATCAGTCCCTGCAATTCAGTTATGGCTGCTGTGAAGGGAAAAAAGACAAATTGCCTACAGCTGCAAGCAGTGCCGTCATGTTTAGAGGTAATGAATGATGAAAATACTATTGCAAGGGCACAGAGTAATGTTATGAGCATGGGAAGAGGCCATCTGCCAGGTCAAGCTATTACCCATCCCTTTAAATTAAGCAAGGTGGGTGACACTTAGAAGACCTTGCTCTTGTTGGAGAATTCAGTATAAATCTTGATAGAAAAAGGTTACATATATGTGCCTTTGTGTTTCAAAATTAAACCTGTACCCCTTCTCAGAAAGCAGGGGAATTCCAAGCCAGGTTACTGTTTAGCATTGCTGTTACCTTAAGAAGTCAGATTTCGTAGCTCACCCGAGAAGCTGCCCTAGCAGGCAGTGGAATCCATTTGTTTCTGAATGGACTCGCTAAATCAGCTCAGGTATCTAGGGCAGTGTAGTTGTCAAACCAGTTTTCCTGAAAGGTTCCTCAATCAGACATATTTGCATGTTGAAGCAGACACAGAGGCTGACCCAAACTACAAGGAATTCACTGAATTGACTTGTCAATAAGGCTCAGTCAGGGAAATTTTCTATCCTGTTGTCACTGGCATTTCTGAGTATTGTTTTGTGTATCAAGATGCTATTGTGTTAACATTATCTGAAAACCTAATACTCTGTATCTGCATATGTGACTGGAAGGTTATAAAAATATCTCTACATGGGCTGTAAACTTGTAGTTGAGTTAACCTTTATCCAGGAACATGCTGTCGTAGCAGCTGCAGAAACTGGGGCACCGATTCAATAAAGCCGCAAAAGTTCAAGACAATTAGATCTTTCCCACGAGACTGACTGTTCACTCCTTGCAAATTGAAAACTGAGATTCTGTCGCTGACATGGCATTCCAGTGGTGGAGTGAGTGCCACAGAGCAGCTGGCCTGCATCATTATCTTTTCTTTTCTCAGGCATGTTCCTTTTCTCAGGCATGTTATTCGTCAATTTCTGTTGTCTGAAATGTGTTCCTGCATTTTAAACGCTTGCATTGCAGCTAGGTTCCATGTGGGCGCTCTGAAGGTTATGCTGTAGCTTTAAACTTTTACATTTTATTTTGTGGTGTTGAGTTTCACAATTCGGGTTATTGTAAAGTACCCCAAGAGCTTCAGCTACCGGGCAGTACAGAAATATAATGATGACATAGCTTTGCCTTGCTTCTTTTGAGTGGCTTTCTGGCAGTGGTCTTTTACATCTCCTGCTACCGGTTTCCTTAACTTGAAGACACCTGGAAATCATTTTGAGGCCTTTTGCTTGCAAAGCCTGGTGCTTTGCCATCAAATATTGCCCCAAGCTATTAATACCCCGTTCTACTACAAATGACAACTATTTGGCAACTCTTGGGGGAGTAAAGGGCCCCCCCCCCAGGAATACCATAGCACGGGGACTAAACCTTTATGTAGTCAGCAAGGCAACCTCAGCCTATGTTTCCATTTCCCGGTTGCTCTGAAAGAGTAGGAAAGTTGTAGCCTTCCAGATGTCAGATAGACAACTCAGCATTCCTGACTATTGTCTATGGTTGGCAGGGGCTAATGAGTGTTTGAGTCCAGAACATCTGGAAGGACACAGGACCCCTATTTATTTTATTTTTTTATTAAAACATTTATATGCCGCCCCATTCGCCGAAGCCTCGGGGCGGCTCACAACATAAAAAATAACAGTAATAACAATTACTGTTATACCAAAACCCCTAGCCCTGCTCTGGAGTGTGAGCAAATTGTTTTCCTGTTCCCAAGATCAGTTTGTGAGTGCTGTTGATTATGTGGCCCAGATAAGCACAAAGGGGAGGCCCCAAGATCAGAGAAACTTAATAAAATTGCACAAGTACAAATAATCTTTTTTGCAAGGGATCCAAATCTAAACATCTATTTTAAAAGTGACATTTTATCACAGGTTCCACTTGCAATTACCAATAGCAGCTCTGTCTATACTGCGTAAAAAGGGTCTACATTATAAAGGGATTCTGTGCCACAAATGGGACATTGTAAAACTCTGGATGCAAATAAAGATTTCAGCGAAGACCCTCCTGCTGCCAAAACATACAATGCTTAATGCAGCATCCCAGTTGAAGGGTGAGTGTGTTTTCTATGGGAAATTAGAGAGAGAAATGCACAGGGCAACTGTGAAAAGGGTGCTCACCGCTTTGTTGTACTCTTCTGATATGTAAAGTTGAGTTCATGAAAATTCCCATCCAAGGGAAGGTGGGTGATTCCAAGGACACCTCCTGCAACAGTAGCTAAGGGAGAAGGCTGAAAGGATTCAAGAAAAAGGAGCCCCAAAACTCAAGCCAGATATGCAAGTGCTATTCCAGGATCACAGAAAGAAGTGGAGACGTTCCCAGGTGTGCCCAGGTGTTTTTATTACAAGCAAGTGGAAGAGGCACAAAATGGTGAATGAGATTTCTCAATTATGCTACATTCTTAATCTATGAATGTCTCTAGGGAGCTAGAAGCAGAGAGTTCTTCCTCTTGGGTTTTTTTCACCAGTTCCTTGAAAATGGCTTTATTGCTCAGAAATCAGTGAAGACACCCCAGCATTCCCACTGTCCACAAGTGACGCATTTTCCTCTAGCAAGTTCCTTCCTGTCCCCACAGCTAGCCTGGGAGAATAGCTGCACCCCTTTGTTTAAGTCCCAAAAGTGCAGCTCTCTAATAGACAAATGCTAGTTGATAGACACTGAATTATGTGCAATTTTTACAGCTGACACTTGGTTAAATAAAAAAAACCTCACAAGACTAGAAATAGCACAACCCCATGCAAACAGATGCTGAAAAACAAGGCCTGTAACTCCCACCATGCCTTAGCTGGCCTTTTACAAGTTCTATCCAGTGTGATTGGCTGAGGCATGTTGGGACTTGTAGGCCTTTTGTCTAAGCTTGCATGGGATTGCGCCTTGAATGCGTTTTAAGAACAGTGTTGCAGCATTGCAGCGCGCACACAAAATGTGTCATGACTATCAATGCTCAGGTAGCCTGAGGGAGGCTGGAGAATACTTTTCATTTCAGTTGTGAAGACATGGAGGCTGGATTTAGATGCCAGGATAACCCACACCCAGGGTTGTTGTGGGCTGTTGTTGAACTATGGGTTGCCAAGCTAATAAACTGTGATAATAAACCAAGATAATAAACTGTGATGAACAAGTCATACCTTACAACTCATACCATGGGTTTCTGGCAAACAAGCCATGATTTGTTAGTGAAGCTGGGTTCAGACAGCATGACAACCTATGCTTCAGCAACAACAACCCATACTCATCCCATAATCAAAGCCTGCCTGAAACCCACCAGTGAGTTCCAAGCCTTTTGATTCTTTGATTCTTATGAATGCCACCTCCTGAAATTCACAACAGCATGGTAAGAAAATGTACACGGGATTATAAATCGTCGTTATCCCATCTATTACCATCACCCCATCAATGCTTTCCAAGCACACCCAAAAATTAATCTCTAGCTCTTGGAGAGAAAAATTTTAACCTAGTTAATTCCATTGTAGAACTATGCCTCTGAAACTACTGCTCTAACTACTAGGATCCGTTACCACCCTGAGAAGAGGGAAAGCCATGCTCTCTCTCAGAATTCCTTGAATGACATTCCCCTGCCTCCTGGCTTATCTCCTTTAGACCAAGCTAGAAGCTTGAAGTAAAAGAATTGTCCTTTTTAAAAACCTTTTGCCTGCCACTCAAGGGTGGGATGAAGAATAAAAGAAAAGCCCTTTTATCCAAAACAAATTATGTGTATGTCTTCTGCAAGGCTGCTGGTGGTTTAAAAGGGCAGGAGTTAACACCATTTTGGCACAGAACAAGCAGCTGAAGAAAGAAGAGAACATTCTTATGGGTGCTACTTTTTTCCTTGTCTAAATGAGCACTGAAAGAATTTTGAGAAGGCAGCGATGAACTATCATTACCCTTGGAAGGACAAAAATCAGTTGCTGAAGCTCTTCCAAGTACAGATTACAAAGAGAAAAATGAAGTTCCTGTCAGTATTTTTAAAAAGGAAAGTAATCACTTATTGTTCTAGTGTGTCCTAAAAAATGTTTTCTTGAGTCAACACAATATTGAGATATGTATCTGCAGCTTACTTAACGGCACCAATCCCATCCCTAAATCCTACTAAAATCCACACAACAGATTAAACCTGATTAACTTTTGCCCCACTGCTTAATGAACAGTCTAATCCTATGGATGTTTACTCAGAAGTAAACCTCACTCAGTCCCAGGGCTTCCAGTGGGATACGCATCTAAATTCTATGTAAACATATAAGAAGCCCCAAAAATCAACTGTGCAACCTGATCTTATGCAGAATTCTTAAGCCTACTCTGCCTAGTTAGTGACAACTAACTTTTGTTGGATGGGGCCAATCAACTGTATTCAGATTATCAAAACAAAACACATTTATTTCTATCATTACTAAAGGAAATAGTGCTATATATAAGTGCTAGCCAAATTAGACATAATACACCTATTATTCTTTAAGAGCTCAGAATTCCATTCACTACTGCAAAAGGTTTCCCTCAGCTTTTCCAAGATTGTTTTCCCTAAAAACAACTTTTTGAAAACGCCAAAGGTTTTACACCTCAGGATCCAAAGAAGGAAGTATTAGCTGAAGAACTCACTTGTCATCCACAGATGGAGAAAGGACTATGAGGGGGTTATAGAACAGAAGGTGGGGTAATCCATTAAACAGAATTGAGAATTCTGGGATTTTTGTAAAAAAAAATTATCAAAGGGAAGAAATCTCTCCAGCAAAATTGGAAAGTGTGGCAGGGACAGAAATCAAAGGCTATCTCCATGAAATGATGAAAAAATTTCCTCCTCGTATCTCAGGATGCATAATTGGTTATTAAGAAAATGCTGGGTGGGAAAAACTTTGAATGAATGTCTTCAGCAAGAATAACAGTATTTGATAAGAAAAGATGGATTTGAAAGAAGGATGGTTTCTGAGGGGGAATCAACTTGATTTTGGGACAGCTACAGAAGGGGTGAAAATCATGGGTACAGGAAGCATTTTTTCTATGGGGTGACTCTGAATCACTCTTCTGAGTTTAGGCTTTCATGTTTCAAACTGCTCTAGAAAAAGCAACTAAGGCTATGAAAGAATAGGTGTAGGTCAGATGGACAAGATATTTAGGAAAAGTTATTCCTGTTCTCTGGTGACTCTTGGATTCATACCTTAATATTAAGGTTCCTAAGGAAAATAAACAAGTAGAAACATTCCAGGAGTTGAGGTGAATATTTTCCTCTTCAATTTTCCACTCATTTAAAATGTTCCTAAGAAAAGGTATTATTTTACCTCTACCACAGGGGCCTAGATTTTGTTAAACCAAACTTCCTTATTCGCCCCTTCTGCAATTCGAAAGTCTGTCTCCACTCATGGAACACGTGGCCCCCTGCCTTTTGCCCCTTCATTCCGCAAACCAACATGATGAACCAACATCCTCACATCTGCACCATAATCCAGCCCCCTTTCCTCAAAATCCCCACTTCAGTTCCCTCCAGGCTCATGCCACATGACTCACTCCCCATGTTCCACTACTGAAGAATCCTTCCCTATTAAAATTTCTCCTGGAGCCCCATCCCCTGTTAAAGGCACCATCTTGTTGGCCATCGCCAAGATGGCTGCCTCTCCTACAAGATGGGCAACTGCTGCGGACTCTTTCCTGGCACGCGCCTCCTGGTGCTGTGTGTACTGCAAAAAGTATCGGAAGCGCTGCCCACAGTCTTGGCAGGCATATGGCAGCTCTGCAGTGCGGACATGCTGGTGTTGCATCCAAGTCGAACTCTGGCGAACGTCTGTGTTGCAGCTCGGGCCTTTGTAGGGCCTCTCCCCAGCACGAATGCGCTGGTGCTCTAACAGCTTGGAACTCTGGGAGAACTCGTGCCCACAATCTCCACATCGGCGTGGCCCATCTCCCATGTGGACTTTCCGATGCTGGACCAGGTGTGAGCTCTGCTGGAAGTTCTTGCCACAGTCGCTGCAGATATATAGGGTTTGGTGACGAGGATGCGAGGCCGTCCCATTCCGGTGAACCTTCTCATGGAGCACCAGATGTGCCCTCTGGCTAAACGTACGCCCACAATCCGGGCACTGAAATGGGCGTTCCCCTGTGTGGACCCTTCGGTGCTGCAGGAAGTGCGAACTAACGCCGAAAGTCTTGCCACAGTCCCGGCACTCAAACGGTTTCTCCCCCGTGTGCAGCCGCTGGTGCCGCAACAGGGTGGAGCTGAGTCCGAAGGCCTTGCCACAGTCCAGGCACTCGTACGGTTTTTCTCTGGTGTGCGTGACGTGGTGCTGGATCAGAGTGGAGCTAAGGGAAAAGGATTTGCCACAGTCGTTGCACCGGAAGGGGCGCTCCCCGGTATGTGTCCGCTGGTGCTGGGTGAGGGAGGAATTTTCGGAGAATCTCTTACCACAAATGTGACAGGCAAAAGGACGTTCCCCCGTGTGCACTCGCCGGTGATTCAGCAGGTTGGAGTTGCGGTTGAAGCATTTACCACAGTCGGGGCATTTGTAGGGCCTTTCTCCAGTATGGATAATCTGGTGCTGGATAAGGGTGGAGCTGAGCGAGAAAGACTTGCCACAGATGTTGCATCTGTAGGGCTTCTCACCTGTGTGGACCCGCTGGTGCTGAATGAGGTTGGAGCTCCGGCCAAAGCACCTGCCGCAATCCGGACACTTGTATGGTTTCTCCCCCGTGTGTGTACGCTGGTGCTGGAGGAAGGTGGAACCACGGGTGAAGCATTTGCTGCACACCCCACACTTGTAGGGCTTCTCGCCACTGTGGATGCGGCGATGCTGGCCCAGGATAGAGCTGGTGCCAAAGCATTTTCCACATTCAGGGCACCGGTAGGGTTTGTCAGGCACAGAGGGGGACACAGAGGAGGCGACTGTGCAGGAAGAGCGGACACCCAGTTGACCCGCACTGGCGTCAAAGCCTCGGTCACCATCACTGCCATCCAGATGGAAGCTGTTGTCCTCTCCATCTGCATCAGAGTTAAAATCTTCATTGATTTCACCCATTTCTGCACCCAGCTCCTCGCTGGAATTTTCTTCTGCTTCTCCCTCCATTTCTGGAGAGACATTTGGGCTTTCTCCCATGTCCGGGTCCAACACAGGACTGGCACTTGCATCCATGTCTTGCCTGATATCACCATCCAAGTCTGAAGGCAAATCTTGGTCACCATCCTCATCTAGATGATAATGCAGATTACTCTCCCCATCTAAATCCTCCTGACATCTGGACCATCAATCCAGTTGTTGCCACATGTTTGTTTCTGTTCTTTGCTGGAGTGTAGCTTAAATAGTTCTTGATCTCAGGTCTGGCTGGGATCTCTGTTCTCCATCTAGGCCAAAACATCAAGACATTTGTTAGGACTGTCTCATCCACCCACATTTTTGACCCCAGGTTGGACCATAACCTCTTCCTCCACCAAAGAGGGACTGCATCCCTGATGCGCAGCCAAAACATCTGCTGGAACAAGAAAGAGGGGAACCTTGAAGCTACTCTCACGTCTTCGCCTTGGAATGAGCAGGGCCATGGTACAAATTCTTCACCAAGCAGCTCACTGCCTATGCCAAGCTGACTCAAAAGGGGAAAAAACCTGTTACTTTAGGCAAAGATATGCATAGTCTATGGCAATGGTCTACCTGCTGCAAAAGTAATCATGTTTTCTGATTTGGGGATAAAGCTTATAAGGCTCAGAGGAGTTTCACAACGCTCCAGAACCCCAGTCCTCCTCCTCTCTATATAGACTCCCAGTCTGACCAGTGGAAAGAGAACCATGTAGAATTCGAACAGCAGCACCTCCATTCTTTGTGATGACTCCACACTGTAACCTAATTCCAGCCCTTCCTGCACAAATACATAACGTGCTGACAACCTATGCAAGCATGCACGCTCCTTCAGCTATAAGACTATTCGGAAGAGCTGTTTGAACCAAGATTCCAAGATACGTGTATAGACACAAGTGTTTGCAAACAGGCACGTGTGCATGCATGTCTGACATCGATTACACGTTTCCTGCGGGGAATGCCGTTGTTTCCGGCAGAAAACCTAAAATGTTGGAACTCCCTTCGACTCTGGGTTAAAAATGCACCAAGCCAATGCGGGTCCAGGAATCCGTGCAACAGTCCTCTAAGCAATGGATATGTTCTCCGATCACAGTGGTCTGTAAAGAGCCCTCTCCCTCCCTCCCCTCTGCAGAGACTGATTTTTGCTTTTAACCCCGGCACTTATTTTCGCCCGCCGGACTCACGCGCCCTTCTTTGTGGCAGGAGCCGCCTCCCCTCCGAGCCGCGCGGAGCCGAGCGATGGGAAACTATGGCAGCAGGGAGCGAAATAAACCTCGGAGCAGGAAGAGGTCCCTCCTTTTTTACCTTCCCCGAGCCCCTTGCTTGGAGAAGGGTTGCCCCAAGGCCGGCTCTCTATGGTTTTTTTAACTCTTCCTGCCCCAGATTGCCATCAAGAGAGGGAGGGATTGGACAGCCTCACCCTCCAAATTAGGACTAAATTTGCCATGGGGCTCAGCCAAAGCAAAGGGTATGACCTCTTGCTTTCTTCCTGGCAGAGACTCGTCTGCCTTCAGTAGCAGAATCTCAAGCAGAAATTCAAAAGGTGATTTTTTTTCACATCAACATACTAGGAAAAGCCCCACCTTGACATATCTGCAGATCAGGCTATTAATGGTATAGAAATTATGTATTGGGAGAAAATAGAAAAAGAGGGGGCAGTTTCCCAGTACCGGTTTCCAATTCCAGAAGTAAGTGGGGGATCTGTGTAAACACTGAGGGGAGAGGACCTCTGAGTATACTCAGAGTGCCCTTCCCTGACTACCCTGTAAATCATGAATGGGCAACTTGTGTCCCTCCAGATATTTTGTCCTACAGTGCACATCAGCACAACTAATGGTGAAGGATGATGGGATTTTTTAAAAAATGCAATTTCTCTCCCCTTACAGATGAAAGGGTGCTGTTGAGGGTGGTCTCTGTCCATGCAGTCCCCAACCCAGGGCCCTTATGTCTATATCCACCTCTCTTGGCACCCACTAGCCACCCTGAATCTTTGGATTTGTGTGTGAGCGACTTCTTAAAAAGAAAATCTGGGGGCCGGTCGTGCTGCAAAGGGGTTGGAACCCCCTTTATTTCTAAGGTGGCCTGTGGGACCTCAAGACATGCTTAGGAGAATGGCAGGCAACCGCAGTCCAGAGCTTCATTTGAAGTGACCAGCCCCTCTGAAAAACTTGAAGAGGCTACACTGCAGTGGAAATGCACGTCCTGAAGGGGTTTGCAGAAGTATCCAAGGAGGAAAGGGAGCGACAGAGTGCTTCATTTGTTCTTATGTATGATTTGTGATCTGTTTGCTTTTGTGTTCTTGCCTGTGTGTTTTGCTGGGGGAGTGTTGTTTGTATCAGGGGTGTGTTATGCCTACATATGCTTCTCTGAGTGGCACATCTGTAAAATAAGTATTTTCTTGTCCTTTGTGGAAGAAGATGTGTAGTTTTCCACTGGGGGTTTAAAACCAACCTTCTCCTAAGTTTCTTCACCAAGCTATTTCTGAACTTCTTGTGAAATGGCTCTTGTAACAGAAAACTCTCAATTCAAAAGAGTGTGTGTGTTTTGGAGGTTAGGTACCACATCTAACTTGTACTTAGGTTGCTGGGCACGTTATTTTTTTCAGTTTGACCAGTTTGCCTTCAGGGAAATGAGTGTTTAGTGACTAGCCACATACACACAAACACAACAGCGTAATACAACAACCCCTTCTGGAAAACAAGTGCTGTATGTTATCTGATAATGCACAGCTGAGCCGTGGGGGCATGATCCAGCCAGGGCACTTTAGGTCCAAGGATACTTAGGAAAACATCACAGCACTTGGATCAAAGACTCTATCAGGTTTATTGAAAATGATGATGAAATATGGATGCAGATTATCAATAAACCAGCAAAAGGAAGCTTAGTTAAGATTTCAGCATGTTGCAGCATGACATGAAGCTTAAGATATCCTCTCCATTACAGAAAGCAACTGGATTGACACTTGGCTCTTACTCAACACTGCCCATGGGGCTCCTAACACATTTAAATTGTAATATAAATAATATGTTAAAATGTCCTATTTTGCAGATAAAAAATTGAGTATTTATTTCAGGTTATATTTTCAGGACAAATTTTAGTTTCATATATTAGTAAAAGAGGCGTCCATGAAAAAATTCACAATGGCAAAAAAGTGTCAATGAAGTCAACTGTTTTTGAACACTTTATAGTAACAACGGATGGGAAATATTGTGTGTCCCAATGTATTATAGAAGATGATGACTGAAAAAGAATGTGTTGCAAAAATTAGTAGGTGTGCTTTTGATAAAAATGATGAAATGTCTAGTAGGCAGAGTGCTTTCAATCAAGATAGGAAATAAATAATTAGTATTTTCACTTCCTTCTTAGAGGAGATCAACCCTGACTGCTCTTTAGAAGGCCAGATACTGAAGATGAAACTCAAATACTTTGGCCACCTAATGAGAAGGAAGGACTCCCTGGAGAAGAGCCTGATGCTGGGAACAATAGATGGCAAAAGAAGAAAGGGATGGCAGAGGATGAGGTGGCTGGATGGAGTCAATGAAGCAGTCGGCGTGAGCTTAAGTGGACTCCGGGGGATGGTGGAGGACCAGGAGGCCTGGAGGAATGTATTCCATGGGGTTGTGATGGGTCAGACACAACTTTGCAACTAACAACAAATACTCACTTCCTAGATTGATATACAAATGAAGGAGTTGGAGTCAAAGGTACCATAACTGATGATTCAAAATCAGAGCTGAAAGTTTTATGTGTCGACTCCACAGCCTTGCTGCTCAGCTCCTCCTTATTCTTGCAGGTAAGCTGAGGAACCTGCCCCGGGTCAGCGAAGGAAGCCTGTGAAATCAGCAAGGCAATGCTGATCCCCATCGGTGGAGAAACAGAAGTGCAGGCCGTCTGGCATTGCATCCACAGGAGTCATCTAGATGAAAGGCAAACAAGTCAGCATGAGTCACTGCAAGGGCAGCTTTTGTCCATTTGGGATCAAGAGACTGCAAAAGGGCAGCAGCCACTGATGCAGGATCCTTTGCACATAAAGCTTCTTATATCTAAATAGGGTGGTATCCTCTTTGTCCTCTCAGTAAGGGATCTGATACAAATATGAGTGAATATCAAGATTTTGGATAAACCAAAGGAAGTTAGAGGCCCTCCAAGTGAAATGCTAGAAGGATATTGCAATTTAAAAAAAAAATGCTTGGAAACATTTTGGGATCAGGATGCCACATCATAATGTAACATATATTAGAAAAAGCTTATATGAATTAAGGATATTGAATTTATTGGAGCTTATGCAATTCTTTCCAGCATTCTTCTAGCATTTCCACTCTCTTCCCCGTGCATCCCGTCCCACATGCTGCATACTGGCAGAAGGGTTGGTTGCTTCCTTTCGGGTACCGTAAAACCCAGGGGTCCCTCTGGTGTCTTCGAAGCACCACCCTGCCAAAGTAGATTCTGGGAAGACCAAAATTCTAACCACACCCTGATACAGTTTGCCTGAGAACTATAGTTCCCTGTGTAAACTCTGATAAACAAGCAAGTGGCAAAAGGCAACACCAGTGGGAGGGTAAACTTAGAGGAGCTGGCATGGATAATAAGAGAATCCCAGCCTTATTCTGTTCCTAACCTATTACTGCAAGCCAGTCTACAAGTTCAGGGTGCTTAGTGTAGAAATGAATTTCTCTCTATCTGAGAAATTGAGTGTGGATCCTCCTTTAACTAAATTAGTATCATCAATGCAAAAGAGGGAGACGTCAGAAGGTTTACAGCAACACACAAAAATACAATACATATAATGATAATCATGACATCTTTTTTTACCTTTAGAAAACAAGACTGCATTGACTCAAGTTGCATTTGATTGTTCTTAACGGAGATCAAAGTGCTCTGAAATGGTAGGAGAAACACTTGTCTTAATTAATCACATCAAAACATGAGATACATTTGTCCATGGATAAAATATCTACTCATTTTTTGACTGGGTAGCAAATGGATGCTAGAAACATTGTGGGCATCCTCTACCTCAACTTTAGCATGGCTTTTGACATAGTGCCCCCTGCTCATCCTGATGAGCAAACTAGCAAAAAAGGGACTAGACAAATGAACTGCTAGGTGGATCCAGAATTGGCTGCTAAAGCGGACACAAAAATGGTTCACCAATGGCACCTTCTCAAACTGGGGAAAGGTAACTCGTGCAGAGCCACAGGGTTCAGTCCTAGGTCCAGGGCCCTTCAACATCTTTATTAATGATTTTTTGCTTCCTTGATTTGCATTAGCCATATGCCTTTGCATAGATACTACAAACATAAAACCAGTGCACTAAGATTCTAAAAATAATGCATATGCCTGAGATATAATTCAAAAGTGTCCATTCTTTGCCTCTCAGCCTTCCTTATGGTCCAGTTCTCATAGCCATACATTGCAACTGGGAAAACCATAGCCTTGGCTATACGCACTTTTGTCGGCAGAGTGATGTCTCTGCTTTTTAGTATACTGCCTAGGTCTGCCATAGCTTTCCTCTCAAGGAGCAAGCGTCTTTTAATTTCTTGGCTGCAGTCACCATCTGCAGTAATCCTGGAGCCCAGGAAAACAAAATCTGTCACTACCTCCATTTCTTACCCTTTTATTTGCCAGGAAGTAATGGGACCAAATCCCATGATCTTAGTTCTTTTAACATTAAGTTTCAAGCCAACTTTTGCACTCTCCTCTTTCACCCTCATCAAGAGTCTCTTTAGTTCCTTTTCACTTTCTGCCATTAGAGTGGTATCGTCTGCATAGCCAAGGTTGTTATTTCTCCTGGCAATCTTAATTCTGGCTTGTGCTTCATCTAGCCTGGCCTTTTGCTTGATATACTCTGCATATAAGTTAAACAGGCAGGGCAACAATATACAGCCTTGTACTCCTTTCCCAGTTCTGAACCAGTCAGTTCCATGTCCAGTTCTAACTGTTGCTTCTTGACCCACATACAGGTTTCTCGGGAGACAATTAAGATGGTCCGGTATGCCCATCTCTTTAAGAACTTGCCACAACTTGTTGTGATCCACTGTCACATTGAAATCTGCAATTAAGGCTCAAATGATCAGTTTCTTGCGAGGGCAATTAGATTTATCTACAATTAAACACATGGATCCATGGGTGCCCAAGACAGGAACACCAATGCTAATTCCATTGGGGTTACATAGAATGCAGGAAAGGGGAGTGAATACAATATACAGGAAGGTGATTGGATACTTTGATATGGATTGGAAAGTGATTGGATACAGGTCACAGCATCATAAAGAAAAGTTACATTTCACTCATTAGATACCTTTGACAGGCCTTCTAAATTAAAGTTACCTTGAACAGGCTGGCCAAGTTAAGTAAATAGAAAGGTTACATGTGTGAACTTAGTGGGTTAGGGAGGCACTCTGGCAGGTCCATAAAATACAGCGATTGCAATTGACGGTTACCCACTAATGGAGTGGGTTGTTTGTTCTTTACCACCAGACACTGAGGCATCTTTTGATGTGTTTATGGCAGGGCAGAGGGGTGGGATGGCAACATTTGTTTTTCTGAGTACACCACACACTCAAAGGCTTTAGCGTAATCAATGAAGCAGAAGTAGGTGTTTTTCTGGAACTCCGTAGCGTTCTCCAGGATCCATTGCATGTTTACGGGGACGCCAAACCGACTGAATTCAGTGGCATTTCCTCTTGCGTAAGTGCGCTCACTTTCAACCCTCAGCCAACTTTGCTCTTTTTCTGTCTAACACGCCCAGATGCCCTTCGTCGCCCGAGAAACAACAGCTCTATCGCGCTCGAGCGGCGCCAGGAAATTCAGTCAAACATGGGCACTGCTCCTTTTCCTGTCTGAACAAACCACCCCTCTTCCCGCCCGGGGAATTTCAAGCTTTCGGTTCCTTTGCCGACAAGGGGGGAAATTCCAGGCAAGCGCCTGCTCCGGTTTTGGCGAGCCCCGCAGCCACACGTGGCATCAGAGGTCGGGGCCGGTCTTGCTGAGCTCGGCAGCACCCCGAACTAGAGGGGGGGAGCCGGGGAGCCTCCGCGCCTGCGCACCCCCCCCCCCCGCGGGAGCATCTGGAGCGGAGCGGCGAGCCTCGCCCTGCCCCAGGTGCGGGAAGCCCTTCCGTACCCGCCTGGCCGCTCCGGCGAAGCCTCTCCGCCGCGTCGTTCAGGCCGAGGGCTCTCAGCGCAGCCTCGACCACGGGGATGGCTCTCTCCCTCGTGTAGCGGTTGATGATCAAGTCGGCCAGGTCCTCCACATCCGCCGGCCGCACGTGCCCCCTAGGCATCGCCTGCGGGTCGTTCGGGTCGCCCAGCCTGCCCTTGAGGCGCTTCAGGTCGAACTCGTCCAAGTTGTGCAGCTCGTTCACCAGCACCTCGCGGGTCCTCTGCGCCATTTTGGCAAGGGTTGCGCGGGCGGAAAGGGAGCGCGGCAAGTTCGGAGAGGAAAAGGCGGGTGGAGGCTCTGATTGGGCAGCCTTGGGGCAGCCGGGCTCGGGATAGGGATAGGGATAGCTGGCGGGAAGGCTTCGAGAATGAGCGGGAAGAGATGGGCGGGTGCTTGCTATCTTACTTATCAAGTGCCGGAATGACAGCATTGGACACTTCATGTAAACAGAAACGAGGTTACGGAAACATGGGGAAATGACACGCAGGATTGGAATGTTAACGTAGAAGGACATGCTCTTTTTAGGAAGGGCATGAAATAAATAAAACATGTCCAGCCTTATTTTCCTTTAACCCAACTCCCTCGGAGGCCGCTAGGCACACGTGGGGAAGGGCCAAGGGGCATGCCACGTGGGGATGCGGTCCCAGTTGCTGGGGTGCTGTCATCCTGGCAGGGACTCCTCCCCAACTTTACACCACTAGGCCAAACTTTAGCTTCACAGTTCACCCAGCACCAAATCAGAGCAAAAAGATAAGTTTATTGAAACAGGGAGGAAAGGGGGACTGGAGTACAGAAAGGAAGAGGGAAAGTGCAAAGGGAAAGCAACAATGATACATAAGCACAAGGGCTGTCCGGTGCCACAACTCCAGGGCTCCTTGGTGCATCAGTGAATAAAACAGGCAAGCGAAGCCCTACTCGCAGGCTTCCTTACAACCATGGCCCCAGAAGGTGGTCAGGGAACCTCCCCCCCGCAAAGTTGGAATCCTCGTGCCCTTGAAAGTCAAGGTAGTTCTAGCCCTGTGTA